GTCCGTTGGTGCCCTTTTCTTCCCTTTTATCCATGCTGGGCTGATTATCTCTCCCTTATCTCACAAGCAGAGAGATGTGTGGAGCCTACACGGGCCCCTGCAAGCATTTTGTGCAAGGTCGATGCTTGTCTTTGCATTTCTGCTCGCAGGGTCTTCAGCAGTAGGGTAAAGGATCGGTTTATCACTCCTGACTTAGGGGGTAAAGAATCTTGCTTGGGAAGCTGTTCCTCCCTGGTTTTTCTGACTTTATTCGTTGGGTTTTTCTCACAGTAGTTTTTGGCAGGGTTTGAATCGTTAGCCTGCAAGCAGCGTGGGCGGAGGGGGCTGTCTGTGTCTTACTGAGCACCTGTCACCAGTTATCCTGGGACTTAGTTTTAATTCCTCTGTCTTCGTTCACACTCTGTCCACATTCTTGATGTGTTCTGTAAATTCTTCTGTGTGGTGTGGTCCAAAACTACGGGGAATATTTAAAAAGATTTTTAAAAAACAATTACAGTAAAAGATGCCTTGCCAATAACCCTCCTCAAAAGTCCCCCTTGTTTGAGCACACACATCTCCCCGTCCTTGGCACTTTCTGCAGCAGCTCTGGAGTCCTCTTTCCTGAGGGTCTTTAGCTGTGCTGTCCTGGCTGCCTTGATGGATGGAATGGATTCAAAATGCCTGGATGCCTGAATGGATTCAAAATGTTTCCCATTCGTTTTGATTTTGGAGAAGAGCCAGAGTCACGTGGTGCCAGATCCAGTGAGTAAGGCAGAAGAGGACACAGTGTCGTGTTCTGATGATCTGGCCTCTCTGTCAGGTGGCACTGGGCAGCAGTGTTCACCGTAGCTTTGGTTGCCCTAGGTAAAGACACTCAGGAGAGAGACTTTCAGAGTTGCTTCAGAAAGTAGCAGCAAGGATGGGCTGAGTGAGGGGAGGATTTTGCAGAGGATTCATGGCGAGGCTTCCTTACTCAATCAGGTTGTAACTTAAACATTCCCTGCTCAGATCGTACCTGGAAGCAGCTCCCAAGCCCCTCAGAGCCTGGGTGTGGACAGGGGTCACCCTAACCCGCTGTTCAGGGGAGGAAGGGAGCAAGAGGTTTCCCTCCAGGGAAGGCACAGCAATCCTGCAGTGGTTTTTCAAGTTCTTTCCTCATCTTCAAAAACCTCCTAGGAGAGACTACACAGCACTTTGGTAAAATGTGAGCCAGGGGCAGCCAGCCTTGCCTGCCCAGTGTCTGTCCCATCCAGGGTGCTGCCCAGGGGACCGGGCTTTTTGTTCCTGGGGCCCAGGCTGGGCCAGTGGGGAGGCAGCCACGCTTCCGCTGCCGTTTCACATGTGCACGTGGCGAAGGGCGCATGGCACATGGCACCACGATGCACGCCTGCTCGTATTTGTAAATTCAGCTCTTCTGCTGAGCAGCGTATGTGTTGTATGCCAGTACCATCCTATTTTTAGCTCTTTTGCCTCGGAGTCCCGCTGGCGTGCTACGGGACTGTGCGGCTCGCGCCTGGCTGTTTTGGAGCTGAGCTAGCTTGCCTACGTGACTCCCCCGCCGCGGGAGGGGGTTTCTGGGCGTTTGTCTTGAAATCTTTTGCCTCTTTTCAGCAGGGAGTCTTTATCATGGTGCATCTCTGGGTTATGGAGCCAGGATGGCTTTAGGGGATGAACTGGCTTGAGCTTGCTGGGTTAGGGGTTCCTGGCAGCCCTGCGGCAAGGGCCTTAGGACTGTTGGTCCTGTTTTGAGTCTAGGCTTGAAACACAGCTGGGCCTGGCCCTTTTATATTTTTGGGGTGATTCTGTTGGTTTCAGAGACTGTGTCCAGTGTGGGATCTTGCTGGGGGGATGTGGGCTATGCCCTATAGTTCTGGACTCACTCTGTGGGCATTTCGTGGGGTCTGTGAGTGGACAGGCACCAAGATAAGGATGCACTGGGGCTTGGGCCAGGCGGATGGGGCCTTCACGGCCAGGGTACCCCTGGCTTTACTGTGTACGTGGCGGGTGACATGTGTGTCATGGCTTCTTTCTGGAAAGTCCCGCAGAGTCTACTGTGTATGGAAGGTGAGGGGTCACGGGGGTGCTGGGAGAATGGGCGGATTCCTTAAGGATGAGCTTATGGTGGCGTGAGGAGGCGGGGTCAGGCTGGAGGTGGGCACTGGGAGTGACCTTCTAGACTGGATATATTCCCGTCCCTGGAGCCTCCGTTCTCGCCCTCCTTCCTGGCTGCTGCAGTTTGAGGATCTTCTCCTCTTCGCTGCGCCGAGCTGTTCCCACCGTGGACTGCCCGACCAGTGGTCAAAACTGTGAGCTAGTCAGCCTCCCTTCTCCCTGGTGGCATCAGGTAACTTCCTTGGCTCTCTCCTCCCGTGTCCCCATTCTGTTCGTGTCCCCATTCTGTTACTTTCAGCACGGGTGGGTGGTGGGGGCTGGGTTTGCTCGCGGGGCTTGGAGATGCCCCGAGGAGACTGAGAAGTGCGCCATTTTGTGTTCTTACTTTGTGGTGTTTGAGCTAGACCCCCCGGCATCTCATCGACGTTAGATAAGTGCTCGGCCCCTGAGCTAGGCTCCCCACACCAGATAAATCTGGGTTGTTAACTCGCTTTTAAACTGTGTACGGGTTTTGGTGATAAGCATTCTGAAGTTTTACAATATTTTATGGAGCCGAGTGTGGTGTTACGTGCCTGTAATCCCAGTGCGGAGGAAGCTGAGGCAGGAAGATTGCCTCATCTTCAAAGCCAACCTGAACTGCATAACGAGATCTTGTCTCAAAAGCCTTTCCGTCAATTGTATCCTGCCCACATAGGTCTTAACTCGTCTGCAGAACGGGCTCCTTGTATCTTCTTGGGAAGGCACAGCGGGGTCTGTGATCCCAGTCCAGTGTGGAGAATAGTTATCTAAAACGAAAGTTTCTCGACAGCCTATTAAAAAGGCTGGGACTTCACCCCGGCTTTCTGGCTGAGCAGGGTTGACGTCTTTGTGCGGAACCTTAGGAGTTGTTGAGTGTCTAAATAGTCTCTGTTATGACTCCAAACTTTTAGTGAGAGGAAGTGAGAGAGAAGGAAACGTTTATATGCGCTCAGGAATTTTTCTGGAAGATACCAGAGACACTAAACAGAGATCAAAAGGTGCTTTGTTTGTGAGCGACTCTGGCCGTGTTCTCTGCGGTCCTCTTTAGCCCGGGTTAGCATAATCTTTAGCGATATCTCGCGCCTTTATCTTTAGCGATTTCTCAGCATAATCGGCAGGGGAAACGGACCCTGGGCAAATAAGTGAGTCTCAGCTGGGCTGCAAGAGTACAGGGCAGCAGGGGACGGGCACTGGTCGGCTCCTTGGGTGTGGCCAGGCAGCCCAGCTCTGCCACAGGCTCCCAGGCTGCAGCGGGTTCCTGCTGCGGTTCTCTGTAGCCCGGGCTTTGTCACTCTGCCCTCCGTATCTCCTCGAGTCATCTGTCAAGTTTACTAACAACTTTTCTGAAAACAGATAGAAGTGGGTGACGGGACGATGGTGGCCAGTCCACCTTTGCTCTGGAGGAATGTGCTGTGCCCAAGCGTGGTCACAGAAGCAGCGCTTTCGAGCCTGTGCCCGCTGGAAGGTCCCCGGCTAAGGAACTAATATGGCTCCTTGGCGACAGAAATTCTGGAATAGTCAGAAGTGGCTCCTGCCCCCTGCGGTGACGGTCACCCCAGCCCCTCCCCAGGGTGCGCGCCCGCGGCACCGTGAGCCTGCACCATGCATGCGCACGCGCATCTGTGCTTCGCGTTCAGCTTCACTCCTAGTGTATTATAAAAAGGTCCCACCGGGCGGCGGCTTCCCAGAGTTTTTGATCCTTTTAAAGTGGGTGCCCTTAGGAAGAAGCTGTGCACCTAAAGCACGGCGCTGTACTTTAGCCAGCAGCATCGCCTTGGACTGCGCATCCCCCGCGGGCGTCCTTTACGCGGCAGCGCAGCGGTTTGTGGGCGGCAGATCGTGCGGCTGATAGGGGGAGCACAGAGAGGCAGGCTAGGTAGTAAATAGTGTTTATGTAGCAATCACCCTGTATTGGATCTCGCCTGTCTTTAAGTTCATTAGTCCTTTAATCCTCGGAAAAGCCCTGGAAGGGAGGTCCTGTTTCTCCGCTTGTTTTATTCCTGGGACTCTGAGGCTAGGTGAGTCTGATAATTTTCCCGCCAAGCTAGAATTGCGTCAGGGTAGATGAAACGCCCTGGGTCCGAAGCCAGAGTGGCCATGGGATTTGCCAGAGGCCGTGTGTATACCCTGGTGGGTATATAAGTTGGGGGCCCGGGTCTTCCCTGACACGGAGGGGCTTTGCTTCCAGTCCCTAATGAAGATAGAAATGGCCCTAATGAGAGCACAATTGGGTGACCTGGTCCAGCACCTGTGATTCAGGTGGCCCTGGGGTGCCCTGTGATGCAAACCCTGCAGCATATCTCCTTCAGGAGCACTGTGACACAGCAGGGCCCCAATGGGGTACACAGAACCCCCCAGTGAGACGGCTAACCCTGTCTTGCTGAGAAGCTGGGGTCCCGAAATGGATGTTACCCAGCTCCCTTCACAGCACCCCCTGGCGGTCAAGGGTCTGGTCACCAACTTTGAGTTGCCCAGCTCCCTCCATAGCCCCCCCTTGCGGACAAGGGTCTGGTCACCAACCCCCTTATCATCCACAGCCCAGGGTTTGCTGCCCTTGGCGCAGCCCATGTGCTTGTGCAAGTGGACATAGAGGACCCTGGGAAGCACGTAGGCTGTGGGCTGGGCTCCAGCCTGGATTCGCCTCCCTGCAGGGCTGCGTCTGTGTGCCAAGGATGCTGTCCGCCTCGGGCTAGGGTGGGGACATTAGGCATGAGCTGAGGCCTGGCCACTTGGCCCGGGAACCTCGGGGTTCTGTAGAAATCTGTTCCTGCTGTTAGTAGACTGGCAGCGGAAGCCGCGGCACGTGGCTCACTTTCTTGTTTTGTTCTTGGAAAATCCCAGCTTCCCAGTTGGACCCGAGGAGTTCAGTTATGTTCCTTTTGACTTTCCAGCTTTGGAGCTGATGCCAAGAGCATAGACACAGGCACACGGAGTGACAGCCCAGTGAGCATCAAGGTGCCCTGCGAAGCCTTGGTGACTGCCTTGGTAGCCAGGCCTCCGAGCCGACGGTGAGGGGTGAGTCTGTGCATGCACTTGCCTCTGCTGGGTCCTCAGGCCAGGGCTACGTGCACATGGCTGTGGACAGAGTCAGCAACCAGGCTTGCTTCTGGGCTTGCTGAGCTGTTTCCATCAGTCTCTGTTGCTTCTCTGGCTTTTTTTTTTTTTTTTTAGTCTGCTCTGGAATGGGGCAGAGCAGCGGGGAGTGGGGGGGTGGGGAGTGGAGGGTGGAGGGGCGGGGGGTGGAGGGGCGGGGGGTGGAGGGGTGGGGGGGCGGGGGGTGGAGGGGTGGGGGTGGGAGGGGGCACGGGCGGGGCCTGGGAGAACCCTGGCGCCCTCTAACTTGGGGTGGCAGTGCTACAGCATGAGTGCAGGTATGGTTGCTGCCCTGCATGCAGGGGGGAAGCGCCAGCTGAGGGTGAGCCCGCTGCCTTGATGCAGAGCATGGCAATTTCAGTCTGCACAGGTAATGAGGCTGCAGGGTATGGAGGTCTGGGGCTTTTCGGGAGGCCAATGGTGTACCCTGGGCAGAGGGCTGAGTCAGAAGAGCCTTCATCCCCAGGGGCATAGCTGTAAGAAAGCAGGTCAGTCGGGGCAGCCCCAGAGTGAGCCAGCTGTGCGCAGGAGAGTCCCCTTCTCACACAGACCCCTGTCACTGCTCAGGGGCTGGGGACGACCAGGGTAAGCTGGTCCTTGGTGCAGTTTCCTGCCAATTGCTGTGCACCGTGAGTGGTGCCTGCCTGCCTGTCATGCAGATGCTTGCAGAAGGAGGTGGGAGGACCCCGGGACGTGGCTGGGAGCGGTGCAGGTATCCCTGATCTAAGACCCTCCTGCCCCTTAGCACGGCCCCAGGTCTGTTCTCCACAGTGCAGATCACAGATCAAGATAGCTGTAAGTGAGGAACTGTTTGAGAAACAGACCTGCATAGGGGTGGAAAGTGGCCCCCGGCCCCTCCGGGCTCTGCCTCTGGAGCACCAGATCTCACCAGCAGCACCACGCTTCACTCATTCCTTATGGGAGGCGCTTTTCAAAAGGAGCAATGCTTGGGGCCTTCCTTTACGGGGCTGCTGGGCAGGATCGGGTGTGGAAAGGACAGCTTGTCTGTCTCTGGGGGCTTCCTGGTTTGGGCAGGACAGGATCCGGGTGGCGGGCGGCTTAAAGAGTTGGGCTGCTGGTGTAGCCAGAGACAGGTGCCTTACCTGTGCTCCAGTGAATGAACCGTGTCTGCGGCATCCACCGTCTACGGAAGGACTCCTTGGAGCTGAGTAAGCAGGGCTGCTGTGCGGGGCGGGCTTGGGTCTCCCAAGGCTCTGCCCACTTTGTGGGGGTCAGAGGAGGCTGCACTGTGACTCCCATCACCGTTGTTACCAGGTTAGCCAGCTTGATGAAGGGCAGAGGTCATTTCTCTGCCCAGTTGTGGTAATTCACAATTCCCTCCCATTTCCCTACACTTGAAACCAGAGAGTGTCCAAATCTAAACTAGCGATGGGACTTCCCCCTTTCTGTTTCTACAGCTGCCCACCGTAGGCTGTGAGGCCATGCACTGCAGACGGGTCTCTGGAACATCCTTCTCTCCTGCCCTGCCTTTCTTCATGTCCTCTCGTCTTTCCACTTCTTAGATAGCAAATGCCCTGATCCTTCTGTCTCTGAAACCTTCATTTTCTCCCTGCTGCCCGTGTCTGCTGCTCATGCCCTGTGAAAGCAGCCTCAAGTTCTTTTGGGGTACCTGCACTGCTGCGAGGTTCTCTTGTTGACTGGTTGTGTCTTGTCTGAGGTGCTTCCCCAGCCCCTCTCAGAACAAGGTCCCTGCACCTGTCCCCTGGTGACCCCTGATTGGCCAGTGCTTTCCTTGGTGAGGCAGGAGCTCTGTCTCGGACAGAACAGCTCCCTGTGTTGGTTCCAGATGTGTTGGAGTTTGAACACCAACCCACAGAATGTAAAGCACCACTGAGCCTGGAAATTATCTCAGGCTCCTGTGTGTAGCTTGGAGCTGTGGCCACCAGCTCTCTCTGACCTTGCAATGTTTGTAGTTCTTGCGGGAACATCTTTCTGGAGGCTGCTGAAGCCCTGGTCAGATGGTTATGATGTGAGTCATACTGGGGTGGCCCCTGGCTAATGTCCTCATCCAAGGTCTCCCTTGTGACTTCAGGTGTGTCCAGGCAGGCAGGATCCCCGCTTCCTCTTCCCAGAATGCGATTTTTTTTCTCCATCCGCAGAGCATGGGTCTGCGTGGAGTTCCTTTTGTTCCATGGACACTGGTGATGTCTGACTGGGGGACCTGGAGGCAACCATCTACTGCCTTGGTCCCATGACCCCAGAGGTCAGGGGAGGTGATGCCGGGCACCCCCCAGGTCCTCCCTGGGACAGTGGGTGTGGTGCGGCTCCCTGCTGCCCTCAGAGGCTGCCCCCTGCAGAGGCTCAGCTCACCCCAGTTCCCCCAGTGGAAGACGAGTCACACGCCAGCTCTGCTTGACCAGTAGCCTTGCCCTGGGGACCGACCATCGTGTATCCAAGAGGGGTTAGGCAAGCTCCCCACTTGGCCCCTAAACCTGTGGTGGAGCTTTGTTTTTCAGGTGTTGGGGGTGGATGGGCACTGACCCACAGTTCTAGCCACCACCACTCCTGGCCTCCTATTAATTCCCTGATGCTTTGACACAGGGCAGGCTTCTGGGGTCTTTCCCTGAGCCCACTGGCATGGAACCCCACCTGGGCTCCTGGGAACCTGGGCAGGGTGAGGTGATAGAGGAGCACTGCCATGTGGCACCTCATGTCCACAGTCCCTGGGCAGTCTGCTACCTGCTTGCTGCTTTGTGTATTTTGTGACGGTCTCCCTGGGTCACCAGGTCACTTGGGCTGGGCTCCAAGTCGGGCTCCTCCTGCCTCAGCCTCCAAGGGTGTTGGGATCTCAGGTTTGCACCACCTCTTCTGGCCTCTTGCCATTTCTCAGTCTTCTTTGTGCCTTGGTTTGTCCCAGGGATTTTAGTAGCAGGGGCTGGGTCCCCAAGGAATGACATCTCTCTGGTTCGGGCAGAGTTGGATGGCTCCACGTTGGTTTTGAAGTTTCCTGGTTGGGAGCTTTTCTTCCCGTGTGGCCTCCAAGCTCAGGAAGAGGGTTAGCAATGAGTCACCGGGTGCTGGGGAAGTTCAGCCAGGAGATGAAAATAATCATCAGAATTTTGTGTTCCTGCTAGAAACCAGGCACTTGTAAAGGGAAGGGCACAGTTTACAACACAGCTGAGAACTTGCCAGCTCCTGTTCCAAGTTGCCCATCTGTCTCTCTGCCATTCTCTGCAGATTCAAAACCCAAAACAAGCTGGGTGCAGTGGCGCACGCCTGCCATTGTAGCACTTGGGAAGCTGAGGCAGGAGCATCCCTGTGAGTTGAAAGCCAGCCTAGGCTACACAGAGTCTCTTTCTCAAAAACTCAAAACAAAAGAAAACCAAAAACAATGATCTCTTTCCAATTTTTTTTTTCCCTGTCCATAAGAATTGAGAAAAGACCCTCTCTGTCAGAGGATCTGGGGATTCGGTCACAGGCTGGTTGTCAGTGGTGACAGTGCCAGGCATATGTTTGTATCCAGAGTCCTGCAGGTCATGAAGCCACGGGTGTGGGGTGTAAGATAAGCTGCAGACCCCAAAGCCTAGGGCATCTGTTTGTGAAGCCTGTGATGTCACCACATGTGGCCTGGTCCCTATGGGGTCCACAGGCACAGGAGTGGTGAACAGGGGAGGATGTGAGGAGTCAGAGCACAGCTGTAGGGAGCTGGGGGTGTGACTGCTCTGGGCACAGAGCATGGGTGAGGACTATGTGGGGCCGAGGGACACAGCTGAGCTCACTGTGCCACCTGTGCAGGCTGCTGTCCTCCTGTGCCATGGAGTCACTCCCTGACTTTTGCCGGAGGCCTGTTGTATGTCTCCCTGGCCTCTTACCCGGGGGCCACCGAGCCAGCGGGAAGCCAGGGCTTGCTGGTTCTCACTGTTGGAGGTCACCTACTTGCTCCAGCGTGTGTGACTCCCAAGCCTAGGCTTGAATCACCTTGGCCAGGGTCATTCCTGCACATTGGGCAAAGCCATGAGAACCACATATGTGCCCAGCACAGGCCAGGAAGAGCTTTCAGGGTGCAAGCAAGGGTGTCCTTTCTGTGGTCTGGTTGCAATTATGGTTTCCACATTTCTGTGTCTTTCAGCTGATGAATTTTTCTATTTAAAATGGCACAAATGCTGCTGGGTATTATGGTGCTCCTAGCACCCTAGGAGACTGAGGTGGGGGGTCACAAGTTCCAGTCCAGCTTGGGCAATGCAGGGAGACTTTGTCTCTAAAAAGAAATGGGACACAGCTCAATACAAAGGCCGTGGCTTCAGTCCCCAGCCTACAGCAGCAGAGCATTCCTGATCTCAGAAAGCCCCGGTGCGCCTCAGCCAGGAAAGAGGCGCTGGAGATGAGCTAGGAGCTGGTGTAGTTTTGGTCCTGCTGGCCGTGAGTTGTCCTGTTTGAACAGAGTGCCTCTAAACAGAAACATGCAGAAGCTGAGGTGGCAGGCGGTTGGTTGGCAGACTTAGGACCCAAGGCTCCCAGACTCCCAGCCTTGAGTTTCCCATGGGCACTGTGACCCTAGGCTCAATGTCACTTCATGGTGACCTCCAAGACATTTTTGCCCGGCGAGTGGGCACCCACTGTTCTCACTCTTGGTCACTTTGGTCTTCTCTTTCTCCCCTTCTGTCCATCTCCTTTTCTCATCTCACCTGCTTTTCTCCCTCCTCCTCCGCTGCTCTCTCCCCGAGAGTCGTGCGTTGGCTGCGAGGATGGCACACATGGCCAGTGTGCAGTAGCTTGCATCTTGACGCCCGTGAGACTGTCACCCATCCGTCAGTGACAGTATCCCGCCCCTCATCTTCTCCTCTCCTGGGTCCTATCTTACTGCCCTCTTGTGGTCCGAGTTTTCTCGAGGCAGATTAGGGTGCTTTTTCCGCAGCACCATGTCCAGGAACGATGGCTTCTTCCGCCTGGGCTGTCGATTT